TACAACAATTTCTTCGAAGATAATCAACAAAAATTCAAAAACATGCTTTTTTTCTCTTTCCCAACTCTTTTCCAAGTCACGTGTGAGGGTAAAGATGGGAAAATGCTGGACTTTTAAGTTTTTTTTAATTTTTCCTTTTTTTTAACTTGGTCAACGGTTATTGTGAAAAAGTGGCCAGGTCAACCGGGTATTTTCCACCATTTCCTCCTCAAAGGCACTTCTGGATTTGTCATTGCTTTGCAGTGAAAAATGTAGATGTTCAACCTGAAATGGTGATTAGATCAAAAAATAAAATAAATCTTAAAACACATTGCAGAAATGATGGAATCCGATATCTAGTGCCGCAATTTTACTTGTGTCCAACTCAAAGAGTTGGATGGTTCAATCGTTAGGGCTTGGCTTTGCAACTGTGACGAAATGTTGAAGAACAACTTGGTCCTTTTAAAAAGGTTGTGGACTAACTTGCCACTTGGACAATATGTTAGGGACTAATGGTGCAATTTTCACAAAGTAAAATCAAAATATACCAAGTGCTAAGTAGATGCTAAGACCATGTAAGTACTAGCATCTGCCTCCGGACAACATCTAGAGGATAAGTGGTAGTCTGTCCAACTAAACCGGCTAGAGCTCCACAACGCATCAAAAACGACTTTTGGTGCTCTTAGGGAATGTGCCTCTTGAGTTCCTCGTAGATGTGAAACTTTAATCCAGCATAAGGAAAAATGCCAATGAGAGTTGGACACTTGGACCTGCTCAAAGAACATCTTGCTTTCCAAGTAAAAGTGTTATTGGTAAAAAACTAAAATCAAACCAAGTATGCGAGATTTAACAAGATGATCAACATTGAATAGGACTACACAATATGATTAACGAGATTTTAACATCTTTTTATTCGTTAATATTGTGTAACGCTAACTAATCTTCTGTATCAAACATGCCATTCAAAGTCTAGCCAACTATAGATATCAACCAACACAGAACATACATTGCCATGGTGTAACATTTCTGTATCCTGATGAATACGATGAGTC